TGTGTGTGTGTGTGTGTGTGTGTGTGTGTGTGTGTAAGGTATAATCATTAGGCTAGATGTCACTGTCCAATTTTCAGCTTATGTTCACAAATAAATGTTTTATTTAATTATTCCCTGAATACTGTTCGATTGTCACACTGAAAACATAAAATGTTATTTTAAAAAGTGGCAACAGCCTGATTTCATTTTTCAGGGGCCAAAGTGCATCCTTCACATGTGACAAGGTAGACAGGCATCATTAACTCACCACATTTGTAAGTGGCACTGATTTGGGAGTGGTTTTCTGCGTGTCTTACACAGTTGCTGTGAGCCAGTAGACCACGGTATTTGATTGCGTTTCTACTGTAGTCTACTTCTGCTCCACACGGTCACTTTTTTTTCTTTTGGTAAGGGGGCTGTTTAGTGCATGTGTGTTACACCGTCCAGGCTTAGATTATTATTAGAAATCAACACTTCCATAATAGATATTTCTTTTGAGGGTCTGTGAGCTGCACAGTTAAGATCCACCTAAACACTTGTTCACATTTTCTCATTCCTCTGTGTTTCTTTGTGCAGGCCAGGGCGTACAACATGCTTCAGGCTGAAGACGGGTGGAAGATGTAGGAGGATGACTGCCAAACCCTATGCAAGTTGTCAGCATGCTAAATAGGTTAGGTGACCCACAGTACTGCTGACTCTCTTGGACTTTGGGTTCTGACAGTTTTACAGGTGGGACAAAGGACTCACCCTTCCCCGCTTTAACTTTATATTCAGTTGTATACTGCAGACAGATCTGTTGAATCTTTGATTGTAGTGTTTGCCTAATAAAATAGAATAAAATTCTCCCTGGAGGTGGTCTTTTTGCAAATAGCAGTGGCTGTTGGTCAGATCTAGAATCTGTGTGTTTCACATCCGCCTCTCTAAAATTAGAGTTTGCTATTGCTAATGACAAAGACTTCCATCAGATGTGCACAACAAGGAAAGGCAGCAAAAAGCAAATGTTCAACATTTTTGCACAACGGACTAAAACATGAAGTGTCAGCTGTCAGTTTGTAAAACAGTTTGTAAATTAATTGGTTGGTATAATGACAACTGTGGTTTCATACTGTTTAATGAATAACAAATACTAAACATTTCTTCTTTCAGCCCCTGAAATATGATGATTTGACGATAGTCTGAAAAATAAAGGGTCTGATTTCGAGAACTTCTGGTGGATATTTTTATTTGTTTGATAAGATTTTACAAACAAAACGTCTCCGATTGATTCATTTTTCACTTGCTTAAAAATGTCTTTCCCATCGTATTTAACATGGTTAAACTTGAATAATCAGGTTATAACTAAAAGGTATTCTGTCAGCCAAATAAAGTGATTACTGTTTATCTAAACTGGGTCACAGTTTTACATACAGTGGATTATTATGGACATTTGTTTTTGGTCTATATCTTTTGACTTATTTCAACTACTCTACTAAGTCCTGATGTACTAAACAGAGGACGTCCTGGCCTTTCCAAAGATATCTCACATGCTTGGGTGTCCTCTTTTAGCTCCAAAGAGGCAGGAAATTACACAACAGTTAAACTGAAAAATGTTTTTTCTTCAGTTCACAGGAGACTACCTCCTGAGAACTGACCACCTATAACAAATAGACTATTACATAGTCTATTTGTTATAACAAATAGACTATTTGTTATAGGTAACAAATAGTCTATAGCTATTTGTTGCCTATATATAGTCATCATGGCCATGAATGTCATGGTCATTTTGGAATTTTAATGATTTCTTTGAACTGTTCTTTTTACAGAGTGGAATAATTGTAGAGCATATATCATTAATAACTTTAACAAACATGAATTGGGCGCACAAGACTTTTAATATATTTGAAATTTTCTCTCATCCATCTAATCCATAGTCCATACGTTCACCCCCCACTAATGTTTGATTAAATGTCCCTTAGCAAGTTTTACCTGAACCACACACTTTTAGAATCCATCAACAAGCTTCCGGCGTAATTCTGACAGGATATTTGACGACTCTCCTTGGTAGAATTTGTAGAGTTCATTTAAATCGATTACTTTCCTGGCACACACACAGCTTTTAAGCAGAGTCCACAAATTCTAAATAGGGCTGAGGTCAAGGTTTTGGGACGGTCATTCCAGAAGCTAATTGTTAGCCTGCTTTATCCACTCCAAAACCAGCTTTAATTCATTTTGGATCATTTTCCTGTTGGAACAGACTGCGTCCAAATTATCATCTTGTTAGCTGTTCGTTTGAAAAAATTGAGTAATCTTGAGATAGCCCTCTGTTGGGTCTCCGCTTGCAGGCCCTGCTGGTTCAGAGACGTATCACCCATGAACAAAGCAAGACAAACAGCTTAACCGGTTTTTAACTTGCGGCGCAAGAGAAGCCGATCGGATCAGGATCTTGGACCTGAACGCTTCTCCACCTTTTCCCAGCCAACTTCGACCCCCAGTCTTCCCTGCAGCCTTTTATACTGTGAATACACACGCATAGGTGAGGCCATAAATGGCGAGAAGTAAACATCCTTACTAAATAAGGGCACAGAACCTTTAGATGGGATGTGCCTGCAGTTAAACACTATAACTAATTGCCTCCCCCACATCCTACATATGTAAGGGAAGAACAGAAGAATATCTGAACATGCAGTTTAAGACAAGGTTGACAAATTTAAGTACAATAATGTCAGCTATTACCAAAATCAACCTAACACCCTCCTTTTATTGTTTTATCCACTGTTTACAATGTACCAGTACCACTGGCAGGAAAACAACCCCAGAGCATGATGCTACCACCACCATGTCTGACATTTAGTGCAGTCTTCTTAGATTTGAAAGCCACGTCAACCTTTCATATACAGGCTATAAACACTCTTCTTTTTTTTCAAATAAGCATAACAATACATAGTATTCAACTTACAGATTACAACTTATTACAACTTACGAAATTCCAGTTCCAGCGGTATGTCTCAGTTTTTCCGTATTAGTCAGTCTGCTGTCATTACAAAGAAATGCTACTGTCATAACTCAACAGATCATGCTAGCATAGCACTCAACAAGCTAACTTGGTTGCGGAATGGCAGGCTTTGGATAATCATCATTAACATAACATAACATCATAACATTTGGAGAAGATGAAATCTGCATCCATATTCTAACAAGACGCAACACTGCTGTTTAGGTTGTTATTAAAAATTACACCCTGATAGCTTAGATTTAAATGCTGATTCTTGTCCTATGGCACAATGTCTGTCTGCAAACAGCTGTAAACTAAACAGTTCATTTCCTCTTGTGTGATCAATTTGTAATGTCTCCAATATAATTCGTCCAGTCACATTATTACTGAAGTCACACACAAGGACAGATTGGTATTCTTTAATATTTGATATTACTCTTAGATCCGTCCTCATAACCATGTCTATCTATAACCCTTTGAAACGCGTTCAAAGAGAGCGCACACAAACACACGCGCTGCAAATTACCTTTGAAATAGATAGCATTTATTTGATTACCTATGTTTTCACTGTAGAAGTAAAATACAAGCGCTGATGATCTCCTTAGTGACTCCATAGTAACAGAAATTTTATCCATACTTCTTAAAATACCTTTCCAACGGCATACATCAGTACAGATGTGTTTTAAGAAAGAGACAAATTAACTTACAGCTTCTCTCAGTGCAGTAAGTTATTAACTAAACTCAAAGCTGCCAGGAGAGAAACGTTTTCATTTCTCTATAATTAGAGTTTCTATGTGTCTTTACAGTAAACAGAGGTAATAAATACTGCCATAGTGGAATCAATGTGAAAAATGTGCTCAGCTGTAAAGACTCACGTTGAAGCTTACATTTTGCTCGTACAGCTAACAAATACACCTGAAAACAGCTGTATTAGGTAGGTGGTCAACGGCTCATTAACATAGATTTCTAATCAGCCAATCACATTGAAGCAACTCAGAGCATTTACACATGTAGACATCAACAAGATGACCTGCTGAAGTTTAAAGATAGCATCAGAATTGGGAGAAAGGGAGATTTAAGTGACTTTGAACATGGCATTGTTGTTGGTATGAGATGGGCTGGTTCGAGGATTTCAGAACCTGATGATCTACTTTGATTTTCCCACATAACCATCTCTAGGGTTTGCAGAGAAAAGAGAAAACATCCAGTCCTGTGGGCGAAGAGGCTGCCAGAGGTCAGAGGAGAATGCCCTGTAAGCTTTAAGCTCGCAGAAGGCAACAGTTACTTAAATAGCCACTTGTTACAACCAATCTATTCAGAAGACCACACCAGCTGCCACTACTGTCAGCTAAGGACAAATCATCAGATTGCACAGTAGAAGATCTTTCCTTGTGCTGCAACATTCAGATGGTAGAGTCAGAATTTGGATTAAGCAACATGAAGGCATGGATCCACCCCGCCTTGTATCAGTGGTTCAGGCTGCTGCTGCTGGTATAATGGTGTGAGGGATATTTTCTTGGCACGCTTTAGCCCCTTTGCTACCCACTGAGCAACATTTAAATACCACAGCCCACCTGAGTATCTTTGCTGCTTATGTGCGTCCCTTCCTGACC